CGAGCACGAGAAGCCGAAGTACGAGCACGAGAAGCCGAAGTACGAGCACGAGAAGCCGAAGTACGAGCACTGGCGGTATAAGCGAGGTATTCCAGAAAAAGAGCATGAACGATACCCTAACTATGAAATCACTGGCCGTCGCACTTCTTTTCTGAAATATGGAGGTAACTTCCACGGTGGCGCCAAGGAATACCAACCAGTTGCGTCGAAAGAATTCAGCTCCAGTAAACTGTACGAGTTGGAAGGATACGGCAGAGATCGCACTGGTCACCACAAGAGCAATTACGCACATTTAAAACACTGAAATTTTGTTATGCTTAAATTTTTGAAGTATTAATATCTTTTGGATATCAATTCTGTTTTTTAATAAACTTCTATTTGCTGTAGTGCACATTCCTCCAATAGCGAAACGCACACTTCAAGATTGCTCTCCGTAATTTCTAGCAAACAGCATGTTATTTTGCTGTTATGTCTCGCAACTTTACCACATCACAAAATTTCTCACCAAGAATCTGGTCTGCCCCTGGTTGAAATTTGTGTTTTGACTCCCACACGGCGAACTCATTGGACAGACCATGGTTTATTCGCAATCGGTTAAACTCACATTTTCAATCTGTCTATCTGGGCAGCTGTGCAACGGAGAACAGATAACGCACAATCAGTTCAAGAATGGAAATGGCCTAGAGCATTTTATAAAGATTCAAATGTTCCCATCCGGTAAACTACGGTTATGATTCTAACAAAAGTATTCAATCAATGTGTGCTCCCAGTGTCAACCATGAAGGGTGGGAAACTTGTACCGTAAGTCTACAACTTTCATAAAGTGAATGACTACGCAAAGTAACGTGAAAGGGTGTATATTTTGAATAACTAGGAAAGTAGAAAGACGAATGAATGGATAAATGCACGTATTAGGGTTTGCAATACCATGGCCGAGTAAAGAAATGAAGTGGAAATGAGTGGAATACGATGCAAGAAGAACCGATCATTGCTGGACAAAACAACTATTCTATTGAATTTCAGGAGGCAGTAAACGGCCATTAGGAGACTTCTAGGTCGATGTCAAGATAAGATGAACCGAGATGGACGAAAATGGCAGAAACAGGTCCTCGACGAAGTCTTTACCCAGCAGATGATCAACGATGACTGGTTACGAAGATACATCGAAGTAAAAGCAGCTGCGCGCAGTTTAAACGCAGTTCCTACTTCTCCGTTAGACCAACAATCTCAGAGCCATATAACAACATTGACCTCAGTGTTTCAAGGTACATCGGCACTTTGATGGCAAAAGTTGCTTCTTTCTCAGCCAAAATATTGGGTAGTTAATACAAGGCATTCGAGGCTATGGAGACCCTCCATTTAAACCCTGAATGTTGTCATTGCTGGAAATGACGGAACTGATATACTTATATTTTCTCAACATCCGGAAGCTTTTAGCCTCACAGTTCAATTTGTAGATCAGCTGTCCTCGATGGGTTCTTTAGAACTTTGACTGCTAGCCTTTTTGGAAGAAACAGACTTTCGCAGCTGTGTTTCATACAGAAGCAATGAGATAACAGAGATCAGGTTTCAAAGCAATTCCCCAGGAAAAAATCATCCATTTACTCCCATTAAGAAAGATATCTAGCCTGATATGTTGAACCGCTTTTTTCCTTTAGAATGAGAATTTCGTCTCTTTCAGGGTCAGCACTGTCTCGGAGAAGAGAGGTCGATATCAATGGTGGATAAAATGCGCGAAAGCACGTTTCGCTGGTGAACTCTGCAGTCAATAGGAAATCACTCAGACAGATCTCTTTCGACTTTGAGATCAAGCATGCTTCTTTCAAGTATCTTTCACAGGGTGTTAAGGATGCACTCAAGTATCCCATAAGATTTCAAGATTTGAACATCGTTGGACGATGTAGTGACTCAAATGTATTCTTAACGTAACATAAACTATCAGACCAACGTTAAGAAACTATGAAAATTGTTCAGTGATCTTCGCAGAGTGAGAGAGTCTGTAGGCATCCATTCTGAGCTTTAGAATTAATTCGACGACTGTGATCCTGTTTACTGACAAATGACGAAACATTATGACACAGGCTTTATACCTGAGTGTCCTAGCCCAGAGTA